GCCTGTAGCCAGGGTGCATCTGAAATGGGGGGCCAAGGAGGGCCTCAAGGAAGTGGGGGTGCACCCGCACTTGCCCACCGAGGTGCTGATGGGGAATGACCTAGAGGAGTGGCCCCATGAATCCCAGCGGGCTCTAGTCACTACCCGGAGCCAGAGCCAGCGGGGGGCTGACAACGTGGGTCCAGGGAAGGACTCCTGGCAGCGTCCTCAGGGTCCCATCCCAGTGGACACGGGGTCCAGCCAGGCTGGGACTCCGGACCTAGGCAGAGGTGGGGGACAGGTCCCGATCCCTGCCTCAGCAGCTGAATTCCAGGCTGAGGTGCAGGCAGACCCCTCCTTGCAGAGGCTGAGGGACCAGGCTGGCCTCTGTGCGGCTCAGCCCCGGGGGGGAGGTGGCCCGGAGAGATTCCTGCGGGAGCGTGGATTCCTGTTCCTGGAATGGCTTCCCCCCAGGAAGGCGAGGGCATGGGGGGTCCAGCGGCAGCGGGTCGTCCCCCGAAAGTATCGCCTCAAGCTGCTGTATTTGGCCCACGATGTCCCCGTTGGGGGTCACCGGGGGATCCGGAGCACCCGGCTGAAGCTGCTCCAGCACTTCTATTGGCCGGGAATCTTTACAGCCGTGCAGCAGTACTGCCGGTCCTGTGACTCCTGCCAGAGGGGCGGGAAGGCCCAAGACAGTAGGAAAGCGGCTTGGGGGTCTCTACCCCAGATAGAGGACCCTCTGGGCTTGCTGAGAGAGTTATGGGAGGGGAAGACCTCCCTGGTTGGAGCATCGGGAATGGAAGCCGCCCTGGCTGTCCAGAGAAGGCTCGCTGGGCTCATGGCCCCGGCCCGAGAGACCCCGGCCAGAGATCAAGGCCAGCGGAAGGGTGGGTGTGACGCCCGAGGACAGGTCTGAGCCAGTCGCCCTGGAGCGGGGCGGCAAGTGGACAGAGGGAAGCCAGCTCATGTGGGGCCTCGCCACGGCCGGCCCGAGTCAAGGGGAGCACCCATGTCCCCAGGGCGG